AGCTAAAAACACTCAACTAAGAGATCAATAACAAAATAGGGGAAATAAGAATGAAATATGAGAATACTAAACTCTGTTGATTAAAAATTCTAATTTGAAAGATCAGCGTTTCTTCTTCACTCCTATCGCGGCACATATATTCTTATTCAAGCACTCCGAACATTTCGGTAAAACGGGTAAACATGTTTGTTGACCAAAGCCAACTAACAATTTATTTAGTTCTTGCCATTGTTCACGCGGAACCAACGCTTCCAAAGCCATCCGAGATTCTTTTGGGTTTGATGTTTTGATCTGCAAAAATTTTTAGACAAGGTGCTCTCTTAACTATAGTTTAGTGGTTCGAATTTTACTATCTATAAAGACTCTTCACTTATTTCATGGTCGAAGTAATTCAAACAATTACTACAATATATTGTTTCCCATTTACTTATCACTGATTTACGTAGTAGAAACGCACCCAGCCAAGTCTGTTGCTGATGCGATGTACATGTGTGTCGACACCAAGTCCTTCCAACTGGTTCCAAGCGGTGCACATCGTAAGATAAGCCATCTTTTCGCCAACACCCGGGAGAGAACAAAGCCCTTCAACCGTATTCGGTATATCGCCATCATAGCGCTCTTTCAAAATTTCTGCTACCTTTTTGATGTACACAGCTTTTTTCTAAAACAAGATAAGATCCACTTTAATTAATTTGCCCAAAAAAGGGGAATAGTATCAAAGAAATGAATGACTTTCAGTACAAGAGATCATATCCGTCAACAGGACAATGCTTCCCAAAAATCAAATTAAGAAGCAGCATGCTCAGCTTTCATCTGAACAATTTAGTAAAGTACGGTACTGTTCTTTTTTGAATATTGAATCCTATATTTTCATTGTCATGTCTTAAGATGGGACTATGTGTTCGTTACTGTTATTATTTCTTACCTTGTAGAAACCAACCGGAATGAGTAATTGCTGAAGTTTTTCTGTGGGAATTACGACTAAATCATCAACTGTACATCCGTGTTCTCGTAATCGCTGCAAATTAAACGTATCATATATAATTTAATTTACAAATATTTCATTTGAATATATCTTACGTGATTCATATTCAACTATTGATTTAGCACAAATGCCTATATTAAACGAACTAATTTTCTTAATTGCTTAAATTCCTTATAAAGCCTTATAAAAACCTATTTTTTTATTTTTATTCGGTTGTCTTTGGAAAGACGAATATACGCATACATATCTCTGAAATGTGTGCATATACACTTATGGGAGAACTACGTATGTAAGTGCAAATGTACACACATATTACATCCGACTAATATAGATAATGGTTCTTGTAAAGAACATTCATGATAACAAACTATAAATTATGATTTACATGCATTGCAGCAGCAGTTATATGATCTTTTGTTTGACTTGATAGCATCAACGACAACAGAGTTTGAAAACGAAATACCTAAAAATCAATTGAGGGAAATATTTGCAACCATCATGTAGTACTGTTATTTAGAGCTTACAGTAATATATCATCCCAAGGGTAATCAGTGGAAATTTTAAAGAAAACAACAGTAAGACTTATGTCAAATTCCATATTCATCTTTTCAGAAGTTGAAACATGCGTTTTCAAGAACACAGCTCCTTAATGATATATAACTAGACAAAGTTGCAGAAGAGTTTTTGTAAGAAAAAAGCGAAAAAGAAAATTGTTACATTTCTTGTAACGTGTCCTAACGTCCCAAAACAACAACTATTACCATACCTTTGGCTCAGCAAGTGCATCAGCAAGCATATGACAACCCATACTATCCACCGGTGCATCCTTATTACTTCTCATTTGCTTAATATTTTCTAAATGTTTCGTCCATAATGGTGATTCTTTCGTGCTGGCACTTTCATGCTCATTTCCACCTAAAACATTCGGTTGCAGCAAGCAAAATAGAATGAAGAAGAAGAAGAGAGTCACAAGTGGATTGTACCTTTTGAATAATGCTCTCCTACATCGAATGCTATTTTTAACGTTTTTCGACGTTTCTTCATTGGTGTTGCCATCGTTCGAAATATACCTCCAAAATGATCCGTCCTGTCTAAAATATATCCAAATCCATAGAATCAGGAAGCTAACTTAAAGTCCATCATTACGAAATAATTGCACCAGGAACTCACTCGAAGTTCATCCCACAAAGTGCAAGTTATAGATAAGATTGGAAACGTCCAGTTAAACAACAAATTTTCACTACAGCCACAGTCATCGTGATCTAGCAAATCGAACGGGTATAAAAAAGCGCAATTGTGTGTAAGCAGCTTGGATGGAACTGCTGAATTTACGGTTGGATTGCAGCAGTGCTGCTGAATAAAAGGTTTTATGTACAGGTTTTTATTTTGTATAAAATAAATGACGCATATGAATTTCTTCTTTTTTTAAGGTCGAGTCATCAATGAAAGCTGAATTGACAGAAACGAGGGATATTTTCAATTTATTAAATGTGCTGAATGAATTAAAGCATTTGAAAAGGACTGGATGGGTGAAATTCAATGTTAGTTAAGTTTCTGTTTTCCTTTTTCTTTAAAAAAAAAAAAAAAAAACAAAACTTTTTATAATACTTTACTGTATCCTTTGATGATTTTTTAATACAACGAATTGCAAACAACAAACTACAAACGAAATTGTTTTTATGGATTGCTTCTGGAAAAGGTAGACAGGCGTATTATCCCTGTATGATTTTTAATATTTTTTAAAGAGAAGAAAAACACATTGTAATACACAACATATTGAAAGAGTTGTTTGGGAACGTTTAGCTGTCTTATAGTCAACAATTTTTAGATTCCGGAACCGGAAACAGTAGCTTGCCATATGTATCGTATGGCAGTACTTGCGATGTTACTAGATAATAATGACTGTGATCGTGCTAAGTGTATCCGAATGACATTGGTACATGATCTGGGTGAAGCTATTATAGGTGATATTACTCCGCGCTGCGGTATTTCGGTTATAGAGAAACATCGATTGGAAGATGAGGTTTGTTTTCCTGAACTAAAATCATGGATCACAAATGTATGAACTCGCAAGTCATAACTAATCCTTGCTGTCTTGATGATGATGATAGAACATTGTTCTACCACTTAACATCGCATTGCGAGAGATTTAGTGTAGAAATGAGTATTTGACCCATCTTCATTTTATTTGCTAATTTGTAGTTTTGATCATTACTTTATCATGTGTAGGCTATGAAAAAAATCACGGAGATGGTACCATCAACAGTTGGTGAAGACTGGTATTCGTTATGGCAGGAGTATGAAGCCAATGAAACTAAAGAAGCCAAAATTGTTAAACATTTGGATAAATTCGATATGGTCGTTCAAGCTTCTCACTATGAGCAAAAATACGGGATAGGTGGGTGTGCATGATTCTGTATTTACACGAATCCTTCACTTATTCTTTTTTTATATAACAGTTTTTTCTTTTTTTTAAAATTCACCACAGAAATTTAAGATGAAACTTTCAAGCTGCACCAAGTACTGGACAATACTGATTGTACTAATGGTTGGGCAGTGTTGGTAATTCCGAACTATAACAAATATTTTGTCTGTGTTATTTTATATTTGTAAAAATATTCTATCGTGCATCAAATAATTTGTGATATTTCTGCAAAGAAATATCACAAATTATTTAATGCACGAATATATCACAAAGAAATTGGACGATGATATTACATAGTGAATTATGATTTATGCTGTCCGGACACTTTAAGACAAATTTATAGAAACCAAAACAAGCCGGAAAGGTACACATAAAGTATATATGGTAGGATATATTGATTTAGAGGTTTGGACAGTCGAAATTCGGGTAATGTTAATCATTGGTTGTGTTTACATCAAATATATACATTTATCATGTTGGGAATGGTTTACGATATCTTGATATAATCTGTCGAATACAGAGATAGCTATGTGAACAAGAAAAAAAACTGTATTAAATTATATCCAATATAATTCACTAAAAGGTTGTATATATATATATATATATTAGATTCTGATAACCATTATAGACAAAGGGATTTAGTCAGATTCAAGGTAAACAAAGAAAGGTCATAAGAAACTGACTAAATGAGAAATTAATTAAATGACTCATACAATCTGGATGATTAATTTTTACACGAAATTATTATAATTTATTTCGGGGTCACGTTGTTCGAAATTTGCAACAGTGTATGCATGTTGATTTATCTTTTTAAATCTTTTTTTTTTTTTTTTTTTTTCATCAATTCGGTTTAAGATTTGGAAGAATTCTTCACAACAACAAAAGATTCATTTACTCTGGAACCTTTTATGTCATGGAACGAAGAGTTACGAATGAAGCGATATATAAGGAAAAACGCAACACAGGAAAATAATTGATGTATTGCTGTTTTCTTATCTGGTGTAACAATTGACTGATTGTAAAACTGAAAAGTTTACGCCATCTACTTTTTTTCGGCTTTTATATCCCACTTCATAAATCTAAATTTAAACCTGCTATACGATTTTGCTTTTTTATTTCATTTTTTTTTTTGAATTTTCTATTTAAAATATCACCTATTCCAACCTGATTTGTTTCTTTTTTAGTGCTGCTTTGCTTTTTTTATATTTCTGTTTGTTGAATCCATTTTTCACTTTTTACGAAATTTTTATTCATGCGATTATAATTCATTATTCGGATTATATCGATCTCATTAATAGAATATGTGTTCGACATTATACTGTTTTTAGAATAAATATTTTTGTAATGTTTTCGTGATGTAATGTTTTGAAAGGTTATTTTTGTAAATTTTTTTTTTTTTTTTTTTTGTAACTTTTATAATGGAGTCAAAAAGTAGTATTAGATGGCATTAGGTTAGCAGCAGTTGATTTAATATACTGCATTGGAAGATTAATACTGGGTGATTTAATACATATGCGTTGGTTTAGTGATCGTTTTTACTTTTTCATCGTTAGTTAGTAAAAAAATCTTAATTTCTTTCTCACCTTAGACATGGGAAAAAAGAAGAAACCTGATGGTGACTCAGTTCTTGGTGAGACGGACTCGAGCGATACTGTGCCAAGTTCGAATGCTGTTCCTTCGGCTAATTTATGCGGCGCAAGGACAGAGGAATATGATGTTTGGCTAGTCAGGAAGCCGACAAAGGTTTGCCTTTTTTTTTTGTTTTTTTGTTTGATGAACTGTTAATGATTTGCTGTCTCAAATCATTAAGAGTCGTTCTTACGGGAACGAATTTTTGTCTAATCGTCAAATCTTAATACGGGTAATTAGCTCATTCTACTAATAGAGTAACCAATTGTCGAAGTTGGTATTTTGGACTTTGTTCGGGATTCGGTTACTCTGGCACTTAAAAGTCATCAGAGAAAATGATTGTGTAGATTTTAGGGAATCAAAGTAGTATTAATTGCAGGTTCCATTGAGTGATTTGTCATCGATTAAATTTCCTCACAAGGCAAAGAATCGCATAAGGCTTGCAATTCCATCTCGATCCGATGCGGTACCACTGAACTGTCATTTCCATCATCTTACTCTACCCTATGTTTATATTCCAATTGCTGGTATTAGAACTCAGAAGGATGCTATGTCCCTTAAAGCCAGTTAGTTTTCTGTAGTGAAATTCGTTTTTTTTTTTTTTTCCTTTTTTGCTTACGATGAGAGTATTTCTTTTGATGAATTCCATTTGTTATTAGTCGAAAGCAGGCAGTTTTGTAACTCTGTTTCCCAGTCACCTTACCTTGATGGAATAGGAAAAAAGATTCAATATGTATCACTACTGCAGAAGTTTAGCTCAAAATGATATCTCTCTGTTTGATTTGCATATTTGTGAGGATTGATCAGAAAAAGTAAGTAAGTCACTAATGATTAAGCTTCTCACCTTTTTCATGCCAGATTGAGTTTCATAAGATTTTTTTTTTTGGAGTGTTATGAAATTTCAGCAAATTTGATGAAAGGAATTGTGATAGTGAACGAGAAACTTGATTTGTTAAATAGTGCTGTAATTCTCACAAATGATGATGGTATTACTGTTAAACAAGAACCTGGTATGTCATATAAATACGCAGTCTTGAAAGGTCAACTGAATTCTAAAGTCATTAATAGTGTCTAAATCATACTTTAAGAATTGGATTCACAATATTTATTTTAGAGGTTTGCTTTTTAGGTACATTGTTGGAAAATGGTATACATGATATGAAGTTCAAGATTAAATCAATTCGCAAAAAGCCACAGTTACCAGATGACAATATAAGGCAACGATTGAAACCATTTGGAATTATTCCTAAAAAGAAAAAAAAAGTTACAAGCTCGCAAATTTGATTAATTCGTGATAATATTCGAGATTGTACCTGTTGTATTACCTTATGAAAATAAACGTGAACAGGAAGTTAATGAAAATCAACGGAGAATTGGGTTATCTTGAATAATTAGCAGTGCTAATGGTATTGTCATAATCTGAAAAAAATATAATGCTATATAACGAAATAGAATTCATATTTTATATTGTTTCCTTTCCTTTTTGCTGTCAAATTTCCACAACTTAAGTAGTAGCCAGATTAAAGTAAATGATTCAGTAAAGCGGTGCATGAATGTCTTTCTCATATTTAATTAGCTTTAAGCTATTTGAGTAATAATACTGATTATCTAAACGTTCCTAAAGTTTGGCTACTTTTCCTTTCTTATTTTTCACAAGTTAACCCATTCTTCTGATCAATATCTCGCTCTTTCTTGGACAACTGCTTATTTTTGTCAATTTTCCAGATAGCTATCATTATTAGCTCTCTATCTTCTTCTTTTCAAAAAATAATTTTCATATGTTATTGTTTAAGGGAAAAGAAATATTATTTTGGAATTTCTTTCTTAAATAATTTGTTTCCTTTTTTCCCCTATTTCATTCCCTCACCTAAGTTTTCTTTTTTTAATTTTTTTGATAAAAGGGAAAGAAAAGGAATATTGAAAGAAAAGACATATGAACTGAAAGTTCAACAGAATGCACTGTTACTATTCTATACATTTTTCTGAAAAAAGAAATGTATTTAAATCAGAAATAAAAAACTTCCAGTTATGACAACGGATTTAAAAAGAAGAAATAAATTAAGGCACTATTATTACATGAAGTTTGTCACTTATCTATCAGTTTGGTAACTTACGAGAAATTCCTTACTTTCAGCAGAAAAGGAAAGAAATGAAGAGAGAAGGCTAATGAGTAAGGCATAAGTAACATTCTCTAGTCTACAACGCCCTCATACAATATGGCATACGACACGAAAATATAGCAAATCACTCTATATATACATAATTATTAACAAAGACAAAAGAAACGATATAATCAGTGAGAACAGGTAAAATTAACCAACTGATTACTTTCAAATGTTTTTTCCAAAATTCTATACCAAAGTTGCAGAGTTGGCAAAAAATTTAAAACAAGCTTTAATTTTAACTCCCAATTGTTTTTGGTATTGAGAAATTCATATTTGGTGTAATATGAATGATATTAAATGATAATAGCGATACCGGTAATTTCGACTGTACGTGTAAACTATTTTAACAACATAAATTGAGATTTATAATTTTCTGAGCCATCTACTCTGGTTTATTCTTACATATAAAGAATTAGTGAGTGAAAAGTTCATTATTCCGGGCTATTAATTAAAGAATCAGATGCATTTAAAGAATTTATGTCCACCTGTACTGCATGGACTTAATTTTGATCACAGTTCTGACAAGGTTTATTTTTGAATTGAGAATACCGGTGAATAAATTTTCGAACATCACGCTTTCCATCGAATTATCACCAGTCAATCTTTCCATATCAAATGAAATTACAATTCTTTTCAAATATTTCAACGTAAACGCAACATAACTGAACGTACGAGTTGTCACATTTGTCGTTGGGAAAATGATTTTCATTCGCGGCTTTCTCTCTTATTTGAATATTTTTGAGGGAGACAATTTGGATGGTTATCACGGGGATTAATCTGTTTGGTTTTTTTTTTCAATTTATCATTTAATTTACACTAATTTAATTGATCATTTGATATGAAGGATAACTATTATTAGTGCTACTTTTGTTGAATAATTTCGTTAGGTGTTAGAAAACTTCTGCAATTACAAATGGAGGATCGTGATGATGGTATCGGATCGGAAATACATACTCCAAGAGATGCTCAAAGTGCCGAGGAATCACATCGTAATCCTGTTGTTCAAGTTAGATTTCTTTTTTGAAATCATATAAGCCTTCAGAGCATACCAATTTTAATTTTTTAATATCTCCATCCGTTTTGTATTTATTATTTCACGTAAAATGTGTATCTTACTAAATTGATCAGATGAACTTAACGCTTAATTTGTGATGGCTCTTGTTCGGAAAAAGTGGATAACAAAGTTCATGTGCTAAATTGTTCAGAGGTTACTGCTGGATTTATGATTCCTCCATCTAATTATTCAGTAGTCGAAAATTTTCATTTTGACAATACAGTACTGATAATGTTCATTCTTTCTGACATTTTTTAAGCTATACTATGATGTGAACAAAACTGAATAATTAAGCTGTGCTTAATAGTGTTTCAGGAAAATGAGGGCGTAAATGGAGTTGGTATTCTGATAGCATCGTATCCGGCACTGTCGGTTTCTACAAACACTTCGACGCCAATCAGACCACAAAATCAGCAAATTTCCCATCACGTCCCAGGGATATCGCCAATTCGAACAATTCCACAAGTAAAATGTGGAGATGGCGACGCGACAACTGTTTTAGACTGTTCGAAGGGTGAAACGAGTAATGGACTTGTCGGTGATAAGCAGTACACTAAATTAGGTAGCATTCTCGATATTCACAGTTTTGCTTGAAATGTATTGGGTTAGATTGTATACATTTAATTGGCTATTAAAAGATTTTCAGATTTGGCTGTGATGCTGCGCGACAAACATTCGGAATGCATTGGGTTGGAGAGAGAGAATGAACGGTTGTCACAATTAATCGAAAGGCTTACAAATGAAAATCATCATTTCCAAGACCAGGTAAGGATGTGGCACGTGTCCAACATAAATATGGTGTAAATATCCTGCCTATTTGCTCTAAGCTCTAAACATTATGCTACATATTTTTTCAAAACATGAAAGGTAGTTGATTTTTAGAATATAATGACTTTACCAACGATAAAATCTAAACTGTGAGTGTTGGTGTTGAAGCTTTAGGTTTTCGTCTCGAAGGACCATGCTGCAACTTTGGCCAAAGAAATGGAGAAACTGAAGGTAGTTATTTGACTGATTAATACTTCACTCCTTCTGATTTAAGACTTGTTGTTTAGAAACATGTTGTTATATAGTTTATTATCCAAAACTCACGAAGCTTTATAAGTTTCAGGAAGTTGCGGAAGAAAATGAATCAAAGTTTGTGGAATGCCAACATCAATTACGAATAGCCGAGCAGAAATTAGCACTTTTAGAAAATATTTCGATTGATGTAGAAGCAGATAAGGTCGTTTATTCTTTACCATAAAAATGATAATGATAGATATTTAACACAGTAAGAAGGAACCTATATGATTCAAATTGTTGCTTTATATTTCATGAATTTGTGATTAAAATAAGATTTCACTTTGTTAAAATGGGAATAATTTGTCGCCTTCCTACTTTATAAACAATACAAGAATTTTACAGGTGCCTGATGTAGAAATACTGAGAAAGTTGCAAGATGAAAATACTGCAATGCAAGCAAAAATTTCAGAGCTTAAATTTGAGCTGGAAATAGGGAAGGTAAGGCAAAGTACTTTTCAAAGCTTTTAATGATTAGGTAATTCAAAGATGTTAGAGCGGAATTGCTTAATATGTAAACTTATTATTATAAAAGACTACAATTTATTTTGCTGTTGCTCTTTGTTTTTCGTATTTGTATTATGTATTACATATAATCCATCGTTAGTTAGTGTTGGATCTGCAGTTGCTCTTTGTTGCTCTAATTATCAAAAAAAAAAAAAAAAAAAAATTTGGTCAAACACAATACTTCATAGTAGTTGACGGGTTAATAGTTTGAAACTTGTCTGTTCTAAAAATTATTTCACCAGTTTACTTGTTTTTTTTTTTCAGGAAGGAGAAAAAAATGCTGAAATCTGGATGAAGAAATATAGTATCGCTGAAAATAACATAGTACAGGTATACGAGATGAAGGATGATTTGGAAAAAAAATTAGAAAATAGACGAGCCGAAATTAACATCTTAAATAAGGAAAAAAAAAGTTGCGAAGAGAAGTGCAACGAATTCAAAAGATTATATGACGAAAGTACTAGAAAAGTTGCTGATTTGGAGGAACAATTATTTGTCACTGAGAAAAAGTTTGAGCATTTACAAGAACAAGACTCGAAAATCACAGAGTTGGAGCAGAAATTGGAAATAGAAAAGAAAAAATGGGAGAATGAACGCGAACATTTACAGAAAGAAAAATCGGGACTCGAAAAACGGATTGAGCAACTTGCACTTACCAATTATGTTAATTGTTTTAAATATCTTTTCAAAGTTGGATTTTCAGGATTGCGCTTTTTCATCATCCTATTAGGCTGATATTCATGTTAAGGGATTGATAATGGGATTTTTCGATAAGTTAGTAACCGTGGTGAGATGTTCTGCATCGAGCAGTTTTGATGATAGCAGTACTTCGGGTTGGGATTTTTAATAGAGTGATTATGTAGAGGTAAGAGTAAAGATGTATTTCTCCGCATTTGCAGACTTTACAATTAGATGAATATTATATAGTTTATTTCTAGAGACCAATAGGAAACAGTAACTATCTTTGAAAATTGTTTTTCTTTAAGGCACTGTCAAATGAAAAGCAGGCATTACTTGAAGCCGATAACAAAGGTCTAAAAGAATTGGCTGCATGGCAGGAGAAAAACGGGAAGCTTACTTTGCAGAACGCTCAGCTTGCCGATGAACTAAAAAAATATCGTGATATGGATTTACGATTAACAGAATGCTTAGATGAATTAACGAAGAAGAATTCATTAGTTAGCTATTGCTCAAGAATTTTTTTTTTTTTTGGAAACGACTAGATTTACGTTATCACACTCCAGTGACATGTGCTAAATTCCGTTAAAAAGTGATAATATTTTTGATGCGATGGCTTCTAAACTGCAGCATTTTACTAAGAGATAATCTCGGAAATTATCAAAGCACTATTAATAACATATGAATGCATATAATTCATTTTAGGAAATGTCATTGAAATGATATTTCGGTATAGGGCCATACCTATCATGATAATAAGTCTTTTAAGTAGGTGAGAAATAGTTTTTATTTTACTAATGCTAGAAAGGAAAATTCTTGATCAGCGTATGGATATAAGTATTGCTATTTCCAATTTTGCATCTTTTTCAGATCGAAGAACTGAATGAACAAATAACTAAAAGTAACAATGATTTGAAAAGATTTCGCGATGAAACTATTTATTTGAGGACACAATTAAGTGTTAGTTTCCTTTTAAATATGTTTTGCTTCTGCTGTTTGCGTTAAACTAGTTCTTAAATGATTTTCTGATAGAAATAATTCATTCAAAATGTCAAAGTTTTCAAAAAATTACTAGTATATAGATTGGCAGGTTAAACATGTATTATTTTGTTAAACTGCTAAAATGTCAATGAAATTAGACATTAGTTATAGGAAAAAACAAAAACGAAAAGTGGAATTGAGGAAAATAGGGCTCTTGAAAAGAAAAAACTGTCTGATCGTGAACATCTGAAAGAAGCAGTTGTGGAAAATGGCACGTTAATGGTTGGTTTTTAGCATTTAATACGGTGCATCACAGCTGGTTTTAACCAGCAAGATAAAACATTCAGTAAAGCATAATTAAATATTTAGGCAGTATCAGTTATTAATCTTCTCATTTGTGCTTTGTAGGCTTTAAAAAATCTGGTCTTTTGATGCATTGTAAATTTTGATTCATATTATGTTTATTACTTTGACAATTATATCACGATTTATTTTCATTACATTATTCATGCTGTTAATACTACCGCAAATGATTGCATATATGAATATGCATAAAACATATAACTTTTAAATGTTTATAAACAAATTTTTTTCTCGAAAATGATTTATTTAATTTTTGAGAATTGAAATGTAAGCATTTCATAAAGGTATATTTATGGAACTGAATTGTTCATTTTTGATTTACTAAAATAATAAATTATTAATCATAACAAAAGAAGAAAAAGAATAACATGCAAATATATAAGCTAATAATATTTTATTTTTTACAGGATCAAATTGCAAGTGAAAAGCAGAAAAACAATGAATTTGCATCATTGCTTGAGAAGCGTGAATTGGAACTCGAAAACATTCGAACTCTTATGGATAAGAAGCAGAAGCGGATAGTAAGCTTTTTTTTCCAAGACAACTTTTAAAAAAACACTTCATATTGTAAATTTTGATTGGATATTAGCGAATTTCACTCAACTTGGAACTATTGTTTCATAATTTATTATGAAAGTTTTGGAAAAGAATTTCATGTATCCTAGAACTTACATTTCAACTTTTCGAAGTGTACGATATCTTAAAGTGTCATTTCTGGTCAGGTAACAATCGATATTATGAACAGATTGGTGTCGATTGAAGTTGTGTTCTCATCTTCAATAATTTTTCAATCTAGAATTCTAGAACTTTATTGGTTGATTCCAATATATTCTGAATGAAGAAGAAAAAGTTGAGTGATACCAGAATAAGAAAAAGAAGAAATAAAGACGAATGGAAAAACATAACTACTATGTCATTCACAGAACACCTGCTAGCATCGCTCATCCATCTCATCTTGTCAATGATCGTTAATATTGGTATTTTAATTAAAGCAAGCTGTTATTGATTCGATTTGTATATAGGAAGATTTGATGGAAGAAAAAGCAGACCTGAAGCATGAAAAT